TTTTCCTGCCCCCCCCAAAAAAAAACTAATTGGGACCCTCACCTGTTTAATTAATTGGATTAAAGTTTTCCCGCCAAAAAACTTAGTATATAGAACACTCTAACCTTGAACTTGTGCCCCCCTCCCCACACTTCTTCCACAACTCACACAGTATGTTCATTACACTGTTCCAACACTTAGGACTTCTTTGGACATTAACTTCTCCGCACATGTAGTCACCACACTCTGCTACCCAAACACTTGTTTATGGAGTGTAGTTTTTCTGCCACTTAGACTTTAGAATAATCTCTCGCTCTGGTCAGCCATGCACTAAGTGTACTCCCCGTGGGATGTCTTTCTGGAGACATTGATGCTTCGAAACATCAGTATACCAGTGCAATTGACTGACCAGGAGAGCAAGAGATTATTCTAAAGTTTTAAGTGGCAGAAAAACTACACTCCATCAACTAAGTGTTTGGGTAGCAGAGTGTGGTGACTACATGTGCGGAGAAGTTAATGTCCAAAGAAGTCCTAAGTGTTGGAACAGTGTAATGAACATACTGTGTGAGTTGTGGAAGAAGTGTGTGGAGGGGGGCACAAGTTCAAGGTTAGAGTGTTCTATATACTAAGTTTTTTGGCGGGAAAACTTTAATCCAATTAATTAAACAGGTGAGGGTCCCAATTAGTTTTTTTTTTGGTGGGAAAATGGACTTAACAAGGAATAAGTGTGTCGAATTAATGTGGCTGGCTAAGACATAAAATTTTTAGGCGGGAGAATTTAAGTGGAAAGGGGCAATTTGGCATTCATACCATATGAAAAGGATAACAACGTGGAATTAATGAGGCCAACTAAGATATAAACTTTTTCAGACTGAGGAAGAATTGAAGTGTAAAGGTCCAAAGCGACTTTTTGGGGGGCATTCATACCATACGAAGATGTTAACAACGTGGAATTAATGCGACCGGCTAAGTTTTTTGGCAGGAAAATTTAAGTGTAAAGGTACAAAGTAACAATTTGGGGGCAATTTGGCATTCAACTGTACAATATGAAGAATTTTTCAGTGTTGCTTGTTGTGGAATTCAAGTCGCCGGCTACAATTAACGTTAAATGGCTCCTGACGAAAACAAGAGAGAAATGTGAGTACAATTGTGTGCATATGGAGTGTTGTCTTGTGTTAATAAAGAAAACATACTCACTCCTCCCCATCTTCGTTTACACAGGTTGAGCTCTGCTGACAAAAGTCTGGTCCTTCATCCTGCTATAGTCCGGTCTCCAGATCATCCACAATGTCATCTTGAAAACATAGAAACCAAAGTCAGTGTATTGAAAACAGCTATTGGCCTTCGAATCAAAGCTCATTTGTGTTGGTAAAAGCCATAGTTAGTTGTGTAATTTTTGTCGACCTTCAAATGTGGATCACACATAAAACGGGCAACAATATGCTGCCTGTCTACACTAGTTTTTCACAGAAATGAATTTAAGGGTCTGACTTACTTGTACAAATTATTCTTTTCCCTCAGTGACACGTGCAGTCAACAGGTTTGCTTATCTGGTTTGGGGTGGAGTCGCCGGTCATCACAAGTTTCTCTCGGTCAATGGGTTTGGACAGGAGTCGCCGGTCAACACTGGTTTCTTCCAGTCAGGACAGCTGACCCTCAGGACATGCCTCATGATATATAAAAAACAATGAGTGTGATGTAAAAAAATGTCTTAGCAACACTGAATGACCATAAAAGATAGTAAAATTGCACAGTATTCCTTTGCTTGAATAAGATGTGGAGTGTATTTAGGCCAGGAAGTGTTTAAAATGTAATACTACTTGTGTATTATGCCCAGCAGTTCTTAACAATTAAGAGATGAAATAAACATGCAAGTTGAAAAACATTGTCTCTTATGTCTGAACTGATGCACTGATGATCGGTGACTGGGTTCAAGCTAACAGACTAGTATTAAATGTTGAAAAAATCAAGTCCAAAGTCTTTGACACAAACTAAAACACAAACCAACCAGATATACATGTATGACTTTCGATGCATAACAAGATGATTGAACAGGTTGAGCAGTCAAAGCTACTTGGATTATAATGGACAAGCAGTTAACCTTGGCTCAACACATTGACATTTAAATCCGCTCAAGCAACTTGAGCAAGACTGGCAACTTCCTCACACAGTCACAGGCAACACGTTAAAAAGAACAGCCACTCAAACACTTGTCCTGTGTAAGTTGGAATATTGTTCTTGCCTCCTATCTTCTAGTTCTCAATCCAACCTGAATGTTTGCAGATAGATTCTACAAAACAAGGCGGCTAGAATGCAGAGTATAATTGTAGGACCAATAAACTGCACAGTAGATTACACTGGCCCAGAGTTAACGAAAGACTTTACACAAGTACACTGTCCATGTGTCACAAACTTCTGTTAACTGAAAAACCTGTAGCTATCTACAAAAGGTTACTTAGACTCAACAGAACACATCAACACACAGCAAAACCCATCTTTCCCGGGCGGGAGGCTTCAGACTCCCAAAAACTAGAACTTCATCAGCTACCAGGACAATCTTGTACAGGTACACAAAATCCTACAACACTCTCCCACAAGGCCACGCACAACACATCAAATCATCCGCACCATCAGCGTTAAAAAAACACGTCAAGGACAGGCTGGAAACACAAACGTACACAGACAGACCCCTGCAGCATTGGTGGTAGCGTAGTGACCAAATATACTTTCAATTTCATGTAAATACTTAACTTATATGTATCATATACATCGCCTTAACCTGTGACCTCTCAACCAATTTTTTCCATTTTTTCCATTGTTATATATAGGCTGGTTAAAGATAGGTTAAGCACTACTATTAGTTACAGGTTGTAAGTATCCTGAGTGTTATATATATAATAAGTGTACATACGTGTCATGTGTTTAATAAGTTTGTAATGTTATGTATTTTGTACGACTCCAGGAAGAATAGTGCAGTGCATGTTGTATATGTATTCTCACTAATGGAGATCCGTCAAATAAACATTGTCTCACCTGGTTTTCCCATCTGCTCTGGTGTGGACCGAAGACGCCCATCGTAACACTCACAGGTTTCTCCCAGTCAAGGTAGGAACACCAGGACACGCTGAACTATATAAAGGAATAAGTAGTGTTATTACCTTCGCCAAGAAGGTTATGTTTTCAGAGGCGTTCGTGTGTGTGTCTGTATCTGTGTGTGTGTCTGTAAACATGATAACTTGAGAAGGCTTAAATAGATTAACTTCATATTTGGTAGGTGGGTAGGTCTTGATGACACCTCGAAATGATTAGATTTTGGGCCCCCTAGCAGCTTATTATGGTACTGCAGATGAAATTCCGGTTTTGATATCTCGTGATCCGGCCGTGCTAGGCTCACAAAAATTTGGATGGTAGGTAGGTCTTGTGCTGGAAAAGAAGTGACGTAGGTTTGGGCCACTAGCGGCTTGCTCAGGAACTGCAGGGGCGTTTCTTTAAACATTTTCAAAAGAGGATAACAAGAACTGGTGGACGGATCGTCGTGATTTTTGGTATGTAGGTAGCTTAAGTGATGCTTGACATAATTATGCGACAATTATGTAAATCTGGATGTAATTTGCATAATATATGAGGAAATTCTATAAATCAGTTGCATTACATTATAGGACTATTCAAGCTTGTGTCATGTAATTGAGAACGAAACATGGGCAGATAGTATGTAAATTAACACCTAATTTGCATAATTAATGAGAAAATGTTAATTCTATAATGGTAACATCATCACTAATCATAACATCATTTGGCGAAGGTATGAGTACATGTATTGAACTTACATGTCAGGGCTTGAAATTCATTTTTGGGAGTAGGTGCACTGGTGCAACCAAAAAATTTAGGTGCACAATTTTTTGGGGGGTGCACCATTTAAAACAAAACCTAATTTACAGCTCTTACTGGTCCTCTTCTGAGCTTAAATTTGAAATGAGGGCTAACTTCAAAATCTTAAACAAGTACTACAACAAAGATTATTTTTCTGACACTTAGGTGTCAAGAATATCTTGTATACTACTATACATTTGATATGTACAAAAATACCTACAAAAATATTTGGGTGCACCCAGAGAAAAAAATTGGGTGCACAGCTCCAATTTTGGGTGCACTAAGGTGCACATGCACCCAGTATTTCGAGCCCTGCATGTATACCCAAAACTAATATTCCAGGCAATGCTGAATGGCTTTGAAATGGAATTATAATAGAAAGGATCAGTTTTGCGGTTCCCAGAATATGAAAGGTGCACTTTCAATTTAGGGTGCACAGAAGATGCACCCAGTATTTCGAGCCCTAGGAAGAAGCACAAGTTTCTGCGAAATTTTCGGCGGGAACATTCAATTTGAATTCCACCAGGTGTTCACGCGCCACGTGGGCGGAAATTTCCAACAAAACGTGTTTCTGACAGTTTCCCAGCACGTAAATTAGGCCTCAGCTTCTCAAAATGCCACCCAACAGGGAAGAAATACAGTCAGTGTTTTCCAAAGACATGCTATCCAAGAAAACAACTTGGCAAGGTACAAAATAGGCCGGCTCGGGGAAACTACGATATAGGAATTAGGATACCAAGGCGAAGATAGAAACACTCACACGCCACGTTCCTCTGCTAACATCACAAAAACGTCCTACAGGTTTGTGGGAAATACAAACATGTGCATTCAAGGATATATTTTGTTGTCTTTACCTCATATTAAAGTCGTCTTCTCTTTAGCACCACGCCTTCCTGAACCCTTCCCGCCATGACAGTCGCCGTTTCTTGTCCAAACTTCGTCCGGTCAGAAAATACTCAGTTTCTGTCTCAAACACCCAAAGAACGGCATAAATCCACCCTGAAAACGTTCCATGGGCTATCTGCACATTTTAAGATGGACAATTTGCTGGCAAAAAGCTGACAATTTACCCTAAATGTTGGGGGAACGGAGGAACATCCGCACGGCGTCCACGCGGGTAACGTAATGATTCCTTTTCCTCCCTACAGAATCGAGTGAGACAGTCCGACGATCCCATCAGGTAACGCGCGACTCTGCCTCTCCGAAAAAAAATCACAAAAGTTCCGTCTTTCTGCAAGTTATTTTCTGCCTTAAGGATCGTTTTATAGACAAGGCACGATGCCCCTGGGTGTCCGGCCGTGCTGTTCCACATGTAAGACCACGGACTCGCCGATGTGGCGGCGGAACGAGCTCGGAGACGTCCTCTGTAACTCCTGTTCCCTGAAACAGCTCAACTCGGTGCCGGCGGTCACCCAGGAAAACGGCGGTGACTGCTCCAACAACACTACACAGCCTCTCCAGCACCAGAACGGCAACAAGGCGGAGAAAATACAGCTCAGGAAGTCCATGCGAGTCCGCTCGGCGAAGACTAAGGCGCTACAGCAGACGGGGAAGGGCACGGTTACAAAGGGCAAGAGCAGAAGGATCATCTTCAAGAAAAACGTAAGTCGCCCCCCTCCCCACCCTTATGC